AGCACATCTCTATCTACTGGTATGTACTGAATACCTGAAGGCTGTGAACTGATCACTCAGCACTGACCTCATTCGAGACCAAAACTAATATGGCAAATAAAGATCAGAACTGTTAGTGGCTTCACTTTTACATAGTTACAGTTTTCTAATACAATTCCTTTTAGAGGCAAAGTGGTTTTGTTTGGTCTGTGTCCAAACAACAACAACAACAAAATTACATGAAAAAATCCTCAGCAAATTAGTCCCATTCATTCTTTATTAAGGGAGAGTAGAGAAAAAAAATACTATCTTACTTTCTCAGCAACCCCAGCTCTGCCTCCAGTAATCCATATTATGTTAAAATTTAAATTTTTTCAAAAGGAAGAAAAGAAAAAAAACCACAAGTCTAGCCAAGAATTTTCCACACCAACTTCACTAGACAGGTTTTCACTCAAGAACAAGAAACTGAAGGAAGATTGAAATTTAAAAATCAACTTTATTACAAAAATACAGCTAAGTTGCTGGTGTTTATCTGCCTCTCTTGTCTCATCCTTTAGTTGTTCCTCACGGTCCATCAGTGTTCATTCATATCTCATGTTACTCTTTACAGAAGTGGGCAGACCAGGATCATGCTTGTTCTAAGTTTGTACACAGCCTAGCCTAAAAGGCTCCAGGTTCAGGACATGAGTTCAGGTGTTCTAATAACTAGCAGTATTTATAAAAATAACATTATCATTATTAGTCTGAAAGGGAACATTTAATTTTCCTCTTAAGTTCCTAATGTGTTTTGCAAGGTCTCTCCTCCACTACAGAAATCTGATATTTGAAGCTTGTATTTTGGAAATTGCCTATTAAAATACATTTGCATACACATATGAAAGCTAAATTAAATAACACTTGGCTAATCAAGCAGGAAAACCCACTTTTTTGTCCACGATGAGTATATAGTCCATTCAGACAGAAAAGCTGAAAGTCTAATTTAAAGGACTGAATTCACACCTGGCTTTAGAAAGAAAAAGCAAAAGAGAAGAGAGTGAATTCAACACAGCTGAACAACACATAACTAAAAGGCAACTGATTTCTTCCATACAAGCTCTAAAGATTCTTCTGCATCCCATATATCACACATATGTCTTTATCTTTAAAAAACAAAAAAGGGTGAAAAAAATCAACCCAAAACATAACAAACCACAAAAACTGTGTCCAAAAGCATAGTTTTTCATTAACTCCTACCAATGTCTGCCATCTCCACCCTGAAACCTCTGGAACAGATTTGTACATGCTCTTACTTTGCACTTGTCATAAATTTCACTTCACAAAGTGGTCAAAACTGAGCCCAATGTTAAAGTGTAAGCATGCAGTTAAAGTCTTGCTTACACTGCCTGGGCTCTTGTACTCCTCTGCCATCACCGCACAGCTCTCTGGATCTTTAGTTTTCTGACTTCATCTGACCATCCTCCATCACTTTGGGAGCTATGTATTTGCAGGATCAAATCCACTTGTGGAAAATTTATCCTTCTGAACTATGAAGAGGTGTTCACAAACAAGCCAGTATCTGGAACAGGTAGTTCCATGGGTGAGGAACAGGTGCAGCACCCATAGTCAGCTGGATTAGGAATGTCCTATGTCCATACTCTTAGCCTGGGGACAGAAATTGGGCTGGAACTCAACTGAACGAAGTAAGCACTAACCCATTTACTATTCACTACAGTAGAGAAAACATTGCAACATGCTGGCATGTTATCACAAGCCCATGTTCACTACTAGCCCACAATCTAAATCATAGCATTCTAATTGTTTACAGACAAATTAGCATAACTCTGCTACTTACAGTGGGGTTTTCTTCTAAGTAGCTGATAAAATCAGCACTGGAGACTGCTGATGGACCCTGCTTCACAACTTCTTACCCTATCATCAAAGTCAGCACTTTCCACAGACTGCATTAACCCCAGCATGGCACTAACACGGCTATTTGTGATATTTGAACTAGGCTGCATACTAAAGACGAATTAAACAGGACTGCAAATTAACCCACGCTTCAAGAAAAAGTACTAGCAATTACACTACTTATACTTTTTCATCTAATTTCAAATAGCTGAAAATCCAAATGCAGCCAAAGCAAATATGGACTGCACAAAAAAGTTTCACATGTGAAATAAGTGTGCGTAATCAGCACCTTGGTGTAATTCGTTTCCATATAGAGATTAATGAACTAGTTCTGACAAAGTAAGAAAACACAGCACTTCTCAACAAGGCTTTACAGGCTCTCCAAGATTCTCTGGCTATTCTGCCATTACCCACCAGTCACACACAGCACACTCATGCTTCTTCCAGCATGGCAGCATAGCAGGGGAGAAAAAGCAACAAAAACATTCTCCAGTGCTCACCTCCTGGGCAGCTACAGCACCATAAAGACACGATTTTTGTATCTTCCCCATGACCACCAGGCTCTCTTTATTGTCATATATGTGCTTTCTTTCCACGACTTCAGAAACTGGAGAAATAATATTTATCTTTATAAAGTACTTCTTCCCCTCTATCCCCATGCTCTTAAGCAGTAAGGGTCAAAACCAGACTACCAAAGGCGCAGCCACACAGCAGACTTCTTTCTGGAGCAGAGAATATGGCTCTAAGACCTAACAGCGCCAGTACTTTGCTGATTTTTGACTAGTGAACCAAATTCTCAGGCACCTTTTAACAGTATTAATTCCATTGCTGACCCTGTGATGCTTTCATCCATGTATCACAGGCAGTTCACAGAAGTGACTTTGTCACAAGCCCCTGACACCTCTAGCTTTAAAATGCCATTCCACCCAAGGGCATAGACATCAAATGTACATGTGAATACACACCAGAACACTGTGTGATGCTTCTTAATTGAATTATCCAGATAGGATATACTGCAAAACCCAGATCACTTTGCTTTCAAGTCCAAATGAATTCTGATGCTCTTTAGGATTTCTCTTATTATGAAGAGTATTGGTCACTGCAACAATTTATGCCATCTCTCAGGAGTTGACACTCCTTCAATTTACTTTGTTCCCAGGCCCCAGTTCAAAAGCTCAGGTCTGGGAGTCAAATGCTGCTGATTCCATGCCACTTCTCCATTTGGAAGGAATTCCAGTTGACAAATCACAACCAGATCGTGCCAGTCCTATTACCCTCCCAGTACTTTGCAGTTGGACCTCAATATTCATTTTATGTCTGCTTCTCTCATTAAAAGAAACATAAACCACTTGGAAAACCCACTTTCTGACACACTCCAAGCCACATAGCCAGAGCTACTTTTGGGAAGCACCTCTGCAGTTCAGTTGCTTCAAGTTTAAAAGCACTCAGAAACACAATGCCAAGGGCAAAGAAGTTTAATCTGCTGTTTTAAAATTACTTGGAAGAACCCTCCCATTAAGCTTTTAGAGCTCTCACACTAACAATCTCTAAAGAAATACACAGAAACCGAAGATAATTCATTTATACTGTTAAATTTTAAGCCCTTGTAGTTTATAATACTCAAAAGTATAAACAGAGAAAGCAGAAACTGAGCAGGTAATGACAGTTAGAAACATACCTCCAAAGAGGGTAAATATGTGCACCTGGTTATCAATGGTGACTCAGCAGCTTATTATGTACGCTAAAAGTAAACTAATAGACATTACTACACTCATCTGACTTATGAGATAGGTTTACTATTCAAGGAAGTAATTACATGCAAGCACAATATTTTTGTAAGTACACATACTCCTAAGTGTAAGGCAGAAATACCAGCAATCTCTTACAGTCCTACTACCTGAAAGCATGTTGAGGGTTCACAAAGAGGACAGTACACTCACACATTATATGCAGATTATACCTATGTAATCCAGATATACTTCAGTTTATGTTCCACTTAAGAATTTCACTCTTTTTCCTATTAGTTATACACAGGAAGCTCCTCTAAGCCTTCTCTACCACTTAAGACTTTCATTACTAAGGGGAGAATGATGGGACCAGAAGTTCATTCTAGTGTTCCTCATCCTAAAGCTACCACTCAAGTGTCAAGTGTTGTTTCTGTAGCAACAAAGTTGTTTCAGCCTGCCAGGCCCCAGTCCTTGGATGGTCTGACCCAGACACCTTAACCACAACTCATGGCATTTGACAGACTCAGTGAAGGGCTACAGTCTGATGACCCAGCTGTGTCACGCTGATTCTCAGTGCTGCAACAAAACTGCTCTGAAGTAATACGGGGATAACTTTCATTTCTGCTGCTATTTTCCTTTGTGTGTCGTTTGTTTTGGATTTGTTTCCTTCTTTTTCCCCCCATCTGTGAATACAGGAGACACCCCAATGGTAATACAGCACTCTAATTATCCAGCTCTGAACTCTTATTAAGTAAGAATTATTACTTAGATTGAAAAAAAACCCAACAAAAATCAATTAAAATGGGTGCCCTTTAAACTTTCATACACATTTATTTTCCATAACCAGTGCACATCTATCACACAAACCCCCTATAGTACTATAAATAGACTTAATCCTACTACCCTGGTTATCCCAAGAGAAAAATAATTACAGAAAACGCTTCATAATAAAATCATTACGCCTAAATCTGCGGGATCTCAGCCAGTGGGTGTGTTCATCAGGTTGTTCCAAACCGCACCGATTTCAGCGCACTGCCCGCGCACGCTTCGATGGGATTTGAATCGGGCCTCTGCACAGAAAGGCTGCATTCCTAAACTTTCCACAGGTCGCCCACCCAGGCCTCCTGACCACGGCCACCCGCGCTCACAGGAGCCTTTCCCGGCCCCGGCAGCTCGCACGCCCCGCAGGCACAGCTCTCCGAACACCTCTGCGCACACGGCCCGGTTGAACATCCTTCCAACCCCCGCCAGCCGCGCGCTTCACCCAGCCAAGTCTCCACTCCCAATGCTCAAACTCCTTCAGACCCCGATGGCTCCCCCCGCCCGCTTCGCCCGGGACTTGCTGAGGGCCGGCCGGCCCGCCCGCCGTCGGAGTCCCCCAGAGCCTNGAGGGGAGGAGGCCGTGTGCCGGCAGCGGTGGCTCCTGCGTATTTCCTAGGCGGGGGCGGAGGAGGGGGCTGGTCCCGGCTCCGAGCAGCCCTCGCCAGCGGCCGCCTGTGCTCTGCCCCTCTCCGTGGCCCCGTGCGGTTTGGGCTCTGCAGTGATCGGTGCCACAGCGGGTTATAAATAAACACCGAAAAGCCCCCGCTGCTTACACGTCGGAGGGTTGTGTAAGACTTTCGGCTTAAAAAAAAATATCCAAATGAAGCCATTGTAATCTTCCTCTGTGAGGGGAAAAAAAAAAAAAAAAAAAGTTCAGAAACTTTCATACAAGAGCTCAGAAATCGGCAAACGTGCAAAATGACCCAAACTTGGATCTGTCACACCTCATGATTGTTGAGCTAAAATTGATAACTCGGGGCCCTCTGACGTGAACAGCTTGTAATCCAGCGGTCACCTGCTTTACAGGCACAGTACAAGTGTAAACGTGTACTACTAAACACGCGGTGGGATTTGAGTACAATACACATAATGTGAATTACAGTCAAGGTCGCAGCTAATGGCTGTGGCAAGTTCAATTCAACTGCAGCAACCCCCCTGGGAAACAGGAAAAGGTCTTAAGTTCCATGTACTAAATCTCACTCATTTCTCTTCCGGGAGATTAGGGCTTTGGTTTTGTTTTCAGAGGGAAGATGTTGTAAAACAAAAACTAAATTTCAAAGTGTTGGTGTTTTAAGCATTTTTTTTTTTTTGGTGATTATCTTTTCAACCGTAATGGTTTGGCTTGAATTTCTAAGTCTTTTAAATTAATTTTTTTGGTTTCTAAATGGTTGGGCTCTGTTTACAAACACTTCAGCTCTTCTGTTCTGCTGGTTTCCTTTGGTAGAGGTGTGTTGTATTTTAATGTATGATTTATGTAAGCAAAAAGAAAACCTTGTGGGTAATAACATGTTACTAAATACAAAGGGTTCAAGTGTTTGTAGAACAAACTTATTTGTGTATAACTTTTTTTTTTTTTTCATTTGAATGAACTGTCAAGTCAGGCTTTAGTGTGGGAGGAATGGAGCAGCAGGAAGAAGCAGAGGGAGAAGCCAGCATGACTCTTCCTGAAGGCTTTTTGTCCTATTGGTATTGAAGATATTTGGCCAAAATACAGTGACAATGCACAAGTTTGATGCAGATGGCAAGATAAAGAGTCTCACTTGAGCTAGAGTTAATGAAGCATCTACAGCCTTGTCTAAGTTAGTCATTTGGAACATGTTATTTGGATAAACACGAAAGTGGAAAATGAAGGCAGAGTGAAGCAGCTCAGGGAACCACAACAAAGAAAAGAAGGAACAGGAATGTCAGAGGATGGGTCTAATCACAGAGGAAGGACAGCAGAAGAAGAGTGGAAGTGCAGGGGGATCAAGTAGTAGGAATGGGAGGCTGGGCCAGACCCAAGGCAATGAATAATAGCAGAACTGTGTATGAAGCCAATAATTTTGTTTCTAATACTTATTTCTTCAGAATTTGTCCTTGAACACAGCTCTTCTTCATGGGTAGCTTACTGTGACTGTAAGAGAAGAAGAGGACTATCACCCTTCTAAAAGAGGCTTGGGATAATTACACATGACACAGGTAAGTGTACTGAAGATACCTGATACAACTGTTGTTAGAAGTTTGGATCATTTTCCCTTTGTATCTCTATTTCGTGGTCACATTGCTCATTGGGCTGCTCAGTCCACCTGTCTGCAAAACCTAAACTTGGGAGACTTGGGACCTAGATTACCATTTTGTTCAAGTTCTTATAGAATAACAGCACTGATTTTAGTGGAGAATTAACCTATTCTGCCACGGAGCAGTAGGTGAACAGCCTGCTACATGAATTGTTATTTTGACTGTTTTAATTTTAATAACTAAGTAATGTAGCATAGTTCTTTCAAAAAGGAGATTAGTTAACTGACACTACCTAACCTTGCTAGTTATCTACAAGTAGATTACGGAGAATTATACTCCTTTGCACATGCATTTTGCAAATGTTCTCCTCGTTGTACCCTTTATTTTGCAAATTGCAGACATTGAGATGAAGGGTCTATAATTTCCTAGCTTGCCTTTCTCTTGAAACACTGGTGCTGCACTGGCACACATCCACTTTGCTGTGACTTCATTTGAATACAGCAAATTCTTTATTATGATGAACAAAGGGTTGCTCTCTGGTCTGCTTTGAATCTCAGTCTGTTCGTGGAGATTAGTGGGTTTTGAGCAATGCCAAGTCACTAAATATCTCCGCTTCACTGATCTCAAAGACATTAGTGACAATGGATTTAGTAGTCATTTTCATGCATGTTCTTGCCTTTGAATGGATAATACCTTAGTAGTTCCTCTTCCCATTGCTATTTGATTCTCCATTTCATTCAGAAGGGTTTAAATTCAAAACTTCTCTTTACTCATAAGTTGTTGCTTTGAGATACATAAACATATTTATGGTTTTAATCCTTGAAGACAATTCTCCTTCACCTCTTCGCTTTTATTTGCAATTTGGGGTTTATTGTCATATTACTAAGAAATACCTTGCGGCTAAACAATGTCTTATACTGATGTTTATCATATTGCTTCTGGCAATACATAATAAATATAATAATGTTGTATAATAAAGCAGGATCCTGAAATGGCAAATTTTAAATTTTCTCAAAGACTGCTGTTCAGCTTTTTTCTCTTTCCTGAAAATTTCTGAAGGAGTATTACTTTATCTTGATATACGAGACAGAAAGTGATAAACCCTTAAAAACACTGGGTTAAATTTTCCAGAAGTGGACAGACTCCAAAAGCCTTGTGTTGCTGCCAGATCAAGCAGTAGACTTCTCTTTTAGTTGTTCCAGGAAAAGAGCAATTAATCTCCAAAGCTGGGTTTTGTCTCAGAAAAGGGATGAGCACAGTGAATTCCTTATTAAACTAAAGGAATTTACTAAGCCGACTTCCTTAAAAGACTAAAGGCCAAAGTGTTCAGAGCTCAGTTTACAGAAAATTCAGATCAACCAACACAGACGTCTTACTTACAATAGGTAAGTATTAAGAAAGGGTGAAAAAAACCCCAAACAGACCTTGGTGGTAGTTTCTCTACAATGAAGTTGCTCCTAGTTCAGGATTTGGCTGTTGTAGTCCCAATCCATGCACACCGAAGAATATAATTTATTCATAATATCTCAGAAACTTTTTCTATGTGAATCTTTGAAGATTTTTCTTACTCAGTATCTATACCTGCATTCCAAAGGCCTGTACTGTCCTCTGAAGTACAAATTCACACTGATGAATCCAGTGGATCAGCTAGGGCCTTTGCTTCTGTACGTAGCACACTCTGAATCAGCAACACAAAACCAAAGTGGGTTGCATAAAAACATCTCAAGAAAGCTGTGTCATTGCTGTGCTATGCTCACAGCAATAAGCCACAAAGATTGTGTTTAGGGGGAGCAGCCTGCCTGAAAGAATTGCTGTCACTTCTCTTGCTCCAAGTGCTGGATCAGCCTGAACCTAGAGCCACCAATAACTTCCACCTGCTGTTCATGATGTTGGTCAGGAAGGATACCTAGCCTCAGGCTGTTAAATCTAGGGCAAAGTTTTACTACAGGTGGTGTCTGAACTGCCACCCAGCAATGTGAGGTCACCCTGCCTCATCACTTGTCCAGGCGTGTAGTAAATCTTGCTTGATGGGATTTGTATCATTATAAAGTGTTAAAAAACTGGCTCTTGTTTTTGTACTCAAATAGACATTTTGCTGCAGTGTGATCCAGGTCTTTTCTCCTCAGGTAACCACCTCCAGCTCTTACCAGATCCAGGCTTTCCACATACCCATTTTCAGTTGTATTCCACAGGGATCCCATCACCTTTACAGACTAAGTTAAAACATCTTCCAGCTGTCAGCGTTTTCATTCCAGGTAGAAAAAACACAGACCTCTAATGCCTGTATTCTCATCATGTTCCAGCCACCTTGATTCTGGTGTTTTGACCTGGCCTGAAGATGCTAGTAATGGAAAGATATATTACTGTTTTGCTGTGTTTCTTCCCTCAAAGCGTAATTATAAGCCACAAGTTTTGCACACAGACGTGTACCAACAGTCACTAGGCCTGTAGAAACTTTTCCATTGATCAGACTTGAATTCCATTCACAGTTACAGTCAGGGAAGCAGCTTCCAGTGCATGCACAGAACATTTGCTTGATAATAAAGAATTTTAAAACCTGCCCATGAAACTCTGTAGTGCTAGATGAAGCCAGAAGGATTGTTACTGTATTTGCCCAAAATTCCCACTGCTGAAAAGAGCAAGATGATTGAATAAAAGGCAAGATTTTCCAGTTTGCCTGTCAGCAATTATGAGGAACAGGAGATAATGAGGAAAAAACTAATGGCATTAATTTCAGACCAGAGTGGGAAAAACAACCAGTGCATGGTTCATCACAGGGCTAATACTTTACAATGATTGATGATTCTGTAATCAGAGCCCACATAGAGAGAAACATGCTGTAAATTAAATGGAGTATTTCACAAATGGTTTGGAATTGTAATGCGATGATCAAGAATTTGCAGAGAAAGACTTTACGACCCTTTATAACAAGCTGCAATGCTTCTAACAGAAATAATTAGGGTTCTGACAATGTATTTGTTTGAATGAAGGATTGAGTTTGACAATAAAAAATAGCCTGTAATCTGCGTGTCACATGCGGCTTTCTACTGACATGGAGCCTCATGGTCTAGTGCACTAGCATTCACAGCAAATTAGTCTCAGTTTTACTGTATTCCTTAACCACACTAAGTGGTACCTAGAGAAATAAAATTATTTTACCAGGTCACTGCTAATTGAATAGCTCTTAAAACTGAAAAATAATAGAATGATTCAGTGGTAGTCTTCAAATAAGTCTTAAAATACATCTCACCATGGTTTGAACTTTCTTTTTTAGACTTAGTAGTAAGAAAAATGGAGGAAGAGAAGGAGGAGGAATCCATTTTTCATTTTCTCTTTAATTTTTGAAATCCCGAGTTTGGCAGGCCACTGGCTGCCTCAAACAATTCACTGCAATTCCTTCCTGGAAAGCTTCCTCCTCTCCAGAAGCAAAGCACCCCTCTTAGCTTTCCATAGAAGAGGAAAAGTGCATATTGAAAGTTATAGCGTTCATTTGGGGACCTAATTAGAATTCTGGTTAGGAAACTGAACTAACATGAGAAACCATGCACCAAAAAGTCCATGTCAAATTGAGCTAAACAAAACAACCCTTCTTTTGGTCAAATTCATCTATATCCAGCACATGGGCAGATCAGCCATACAGCACACACAATGCCTCTGACACCTCTAGGAAACACAGGATCTGTTGCAGCTTTTCAAAAAATTTGAGTTAACCATAAAGTTTTGGATGTATCTTTCCTAAGTTCCACATAGCCTATGTACATGTTCTATTTTGGAAATCCCACGGGCAGCAGATTCTTTCTAATGTTAGGTGTCACAGTGCAGCTGACCTCTTTCCTAAGGCAGTCTAAGGTGCTCTACAACTGCCACTTCTCAGAGGCCCCGAACACAGTTTTTCAGCAGCTCATCAGAGAACTGGATGGTGTTATTAATCATCTCTTAAGCAACTGATAAACAGAAAGGGATCTTATATTCTGTGATGGTTTGTGTGATCATACAGTCTAACAAAACACCATTTATGAGTTACTGAACACTTTTGGAGGCCAGCCTAATTGTTTCAGATCCAGAGGAAGGTAATTCCAGCAATGACTACTTTTGGGCATTCAGAAAATGCTTGCAGAAAAGTCTGAGTCTCCGCTTATGTTGGGACAGTCCTTACCACTGGCATCCATACTAGTGAGAAATTTATAAGCCTTGTTAATACCTTCTTTTTTCTTTCTGTTTTAATAATGATTAGTACCAAATTTCTTAGCTCTTAAGCATGTGACAGGGTTCTTGTCCACTTGTGGTAGCGCATTTGAGTTGGATTTTTCACTGACGCTGGGAAGGTGTGTGTTAGCATGTGGAGGAGATGAGACACCTATGCACAACAGCTGTGTTGCTTGGCTAAATTTTACACCAGTCTGATTATGACAAAAAATGAAAATGTGTCTGCACAGTAGCTATCAGCAAGGATTTCAGTGGCTCTCCCCAGGCTTGCAGGAATGAGCATGTAACAGCTGTGAAAATGGGCACAGCACAGGGTGACACAGCTCCTGTCTATTGGTCTCTGATTTTGATCATGGAGCTAGTTGGGGGAATTGCTATATAACTGTATTATTCAGTGCTTTAAGTATTTTTTTTCCAGTTTTTTCCCAGTATTATTCTTCTGCAAAGTTTTTCTCTTGAGTCTCCCTTGTGTTATGCATATAGACTTGCATGCACATGCCAGATTGTTTGGTGTGTGTGTGATGGGGGGATGCTGTGCTGTAGCCACGTGCCAAGCCATCTCTGAGGGTGAGGGTACTGACAATAAGAGTGTTCCCCACTGCTTGTTTCTCCACAGTAGCAACAGCACAGTAAGATGTTGTATTGCTTAACCCACTCCTACAAAATTTGAGTAAGAGTCAGAGAACCATTGTTTTTTTCCTATGACCATGTGGCCCTCCCAAGTGTGAATCAAGTACGGGAGATAGACCTTTTGT